AAGTGTCCTCCGGGCGGCTGCGGGGGCGGGGCCGCCACCTGGGAGGGCGGTGCCGGGCCCGCCCCCCGCCCACGCCCGGCGGCCCCGGCTCCCCGCGGGGGTTCCCCCAGGGCTCCCCGCTGGAGTGCTCCCACCGAGGAGGTCATCGGGGTTTACCCGCGAGCGCAAAGCCGCAGCCGGCTCGATTTTTTTTTTCTTTTTTTTTTTTTTTAAGATCGAGAACTCTCCCAATGTTTCGTCCGATGCCACCAATACAGAGAGGAGATGGAGTCCACCCGCTCTGATTAAAGTGGGCATCTCCGATCAAACTGTGCCGAGAAAATAGTCCCAAGGGCGAGCCAACAGTTTTTCTAGAGCTGGAATTAACAACCCGTCCCGGGAGCTGGGGCAACATAGCAGGCTCTTCAAGAGCGCTGCAAATGGAACTTTACAGAGAAAGACGTTGTACAGGTGAATCGCTTTACTACTGTTAAGCCTAAGAACCCGGTATTCCCGAAAAAAAGCAAAATGGCAGAGGAGAACGGCTTCCACCATGGGAGACACAGAAAAGCAACCTTGGGGAAAGTACGCCGAAGGAGACTCCGATGGCCCTAGTTAGGTGGAATAAGTTCTTCCTTACAGCTTTTCCAGGTGAAACGAGAAATCCCTGGACGCTCACGGACATTGAGAAGCATTTCAAAAATTTACTGTGCTGGGGAGTTAGCCACCACTATGAAAAGCAGGAAAGCTACAAGGTGAAGAAATGCTAGTGGACGTGATGCAGAAATAACCGTGCGAAATGCACTCGAAATCAACTAGCAGGGGGAGGAAGAAACCAAACAAACCTGGAAGCTAGATTACTGCTCTCCGTGTACTAACACTACAGGAAGTCACCAGTCTGATGAACTTTTCAGAGCCTGACGCTTGGAGCTCTACTTGTTGCTCAGTCCTTAGCCCTGTGACCTCGAGCAAACTGTTTCGCCTCCATTTTCTCTCTGACAAGGTGAAGCGATTGAACTTTCAGGGGTTCTCAGACTGCAAGTAGCATGTGGAAGGAGCATCCGCTGTATGCCTGTGAAGACTGCAGTTCTGGTACCCCCAGGGCTCACGGTTCCACCCCCGAGGTGCCCAGTGAATCTGTCTTTTCAAGGACTCTGGGTAGCTTGGAAGTAATTGGTCCTCGAAACCCACTTTTATTCATTCATCGAAAATCATCTGAATGCAGACTCTAGGCCAGGCACAGTGGAAACACTGAAGCTACCTGCATGGGCAAAATACACAACCTCGTTGTCTTTGCGAAACATCTAGCCTCATGTTTCTGGTTCCCTAAAGTAATGGTTTCATCGTAGACAATCAGGTTGTGTATAGCTAAATTAAATTATCATTTGTTTTTTCTTGAGTTTATTGTTTATCCTTGACTATTTCTTCTTACTGCCCCAATTTATGCTACTTGCCTACCTCTTGCTAATTAGTTCGGAAGCAGCTCTAAGTGTTCATGTAGATGCTAACTTTTTAAAAAAAATTTTTAATGTTTTACTTATTTCTAAGAGAGCGTGTGTGTGTGTGTGAGTGGGAGAGGGGCAGAGCGAGAGGGAGACAGAATCCGAAGTAGACCCCAGGCTCTGAGCTGTCAGTGCAGAGCCCGACATGGGCCTTGAACCCACGAATCGTGAGATAATGACCTGAGCCAAAGTCGGATGCTTAACGGACTGAGCCACCCAGGCGCCCCGCTGACTTATTTTTTAATAGACTTTTTAAAGAGCAGTTTCAGATTCACAGCAACATTGAGAAGATACACACACATTCCAGATAATTCTTGTCCCCTGCCCTCCCACACACACATGGCCTCCTCCATTATCAACATCCCCAACCAGGGTGGTACATTGTTATAACTGATGAACCTACATTGATAGATCATTATCACTCAGAGTGCTGGTTTTGCATTACTGTTCCCTCCTGGTGCGATATGTTCTGTGGATGGGACAAATGTATTGTGACATGTTATCTACCACTATAGTATTATTATATGTAGTAGTTTCACTGCCCTAAACATCCTCTTGGTCTGTCTCTCCATCCTTCCCTCTCCCGCGTCCAACCCTGGCAACCACTCCTCTTTATCCTGTCACCATATTTTTGCCTTTTCCAGAATATCATATAGTTGGAATCATACAGTATCTAGCATTTTCGATTCTATTCTAACCAAATTTCAATTATAGAATACGGTGTTACGATCCATATTCACTACGTTATACGTTAAATCCTCAGACTTCATCTTGTAGCTGAAAGTTTGTACCCTTTTTACCAACCTTTCCCTATTCCCCTCACCCCCAGTCCCTGGCAACCAATTTTCTACTGTTTTTACGAGGGGCTTTTTTTAAAATCCACACATACGTGATACTGTGCAGTATTTGTCTTTCTCTGGCTTAATTTCATTTGGCATCGTGCCATCCATGAGCATGACCATCCACGTCATCACTAACAGCAGAACTCCTCTCTTTGTCATAGATGCATAATAGTCCATTGTGTGTATCTTCTTTATCTGTTCACCTGTTGATGGATGCTTCAGATGTTTCCATACCTTGGCTTTTGGGAATAATGCTACAATGAACATGGGACGTGAAGAGACCTCTTCGCTATCCTGTTTTCATTTCCTTTGGATACACACCCAGAAGTGAGATTGCTGGATCACGGGGTAGTTCTGTTTTCCACAGTGGCTGCACCAAGTCACATGCCCACCAACAGTGCACAAAGGCTCCCTTTTCTCCACATCCTCACCAACACTTGTTACCTCTTGGGTTTTTTTGATCAGAGCCATACTGACAGGTATGAAGTGATATCTCATTGTGGTTTTGATTTGCATTTGCCTGAAGATTGGTAACTGACATTGAGCATCTTTTCAGTTGGCCATTTGTATATCTTCTTGGGAAAAAAATAATCTATTCAGTTCCTCTGCTCATTTTTTAAACGTGTTTTGTTGTGTTTTATTTTGTTACTGAATTGGGTACATTCTTTATATATTTTGGATACTAACCCCTTATCAGATGTGTGATTTGCCAATATTTTCTCCCATTCAGTAGGTTGCCTTTTCATTTTGTCGAGAGTTTCTTTTGCTGTGCAGAAGCTTTCTAGTTTGATGTAGTTCTACTTGTTTATTTTTGCTTTTGTTGCCTTTCCTTTGATGTAAATCTAAAAACTCCCTGCCAGCATGGATGTCAAGGAGGCTTTTCCAATGTTTTCTTCTATGAGTTTTATGGTTTCAAGTCTTACGTTCAAGTCTTTAATCTATTTTGAGTGGATTTTTGTGTGTGGTGGGAGGTAGGCATCCGGTTTCATTCTTTTGCCAGTGGCTGTCCAGTTTTCCCAGCACCATTTGTTTGAGGAGACCGTCCTTTCCCTCCTGTAGATTCTTGGCTCCTTTGTCATAAATTGATTGACCATATATCGTTAGCGATTGTTTCTGGGCTCTCTATTCTGTTCGGTTGATCTATGTGTGTGTTTTTGTACCAATGCCACACTGTGTTGATTACTGTAGCTTTTGTAGTATAGTTTGAAGTCAGGGAGGCTGATGCCTCCAGCTTTGTTCCTCTTTCTCAAGTTTGCTTTGGCTGTTCAGGCTGTCAATCATTTTTATTTTATTTTTTTTTTAATTTTTTGAAAATGTTTTTATTTATTTTTGAGAGAGAGAGAGACAGAGCACAAGCTGGGGAGGGGCAGAGAGAGAGGGAGACACAGAATCCGAAACAGGCTCCAGGCTCTGAGCTGTCAGCACAGAGCCCGACGTGGGGCTTGAACCTGCGAACAGCGAGATCATGACCTGGGCCAATGTCGATGTTCAACCAACTAAGCCACCCAGGTGCCCCATTTAGAAAAAAAAAAAAAATGTTTATATATTTATTTTGAGAGGACAGAGAGAGAGAGAGAGAAAGAGAGAGAAACAATCCCAAGAAGGCTCTGCATTGTCAGTGCAGAGTCCAGTGTGGGGCTTGAACTCACGAACTGTGAGATCATGACCTGGGCAGAATTCCAGAGTCAGAAGCTTAACTGACTGAGCCACCCAGGTGCCCCCGGGTGTCCCATTTTTTTTTTTAATTTTTTTTTAACGTTTATTTATTTTTTTGGGACAGAGAGAGACAGAGCATGAACGGGGGAGGGGCAGAGAGAGAGGGAGACACAGAATCGGAAACAGGCTCCAGGCTCTGAGCCATCCGCCCAGAGCCCGACGCGGGGCTCGAACTCACGGACCGCGAGATCGTGACCTGGCTGAAGTCGGACGCTTAACCGACTGCGCCACCCAGGCGCCCCATCATTTTTAAAACATAGAAATTTAAAAGGCACAAAAATTGAAAAACCCATTGCTACGCTTCCCCCAAATTATTGATAATATTAACTTAATTTTTAAGAAATCACCATCTTTATGTGTATTTTGTATCTTCTTGGCTAACAAGGTTATTTTTCTTGATTAAGGTTAATAGAAGTTCTATTTCAGGTCAGCTGAAATTATCGATCCAGGATTATCTGTTAGAAATTTAGAACCCAGGCTCCTAGGTGTTCTC